CTTTTCTAAATGTGAATACTAATCGACGTGTTAGACCGTTTTTTTCGAATATTCTCTCATTTATTTATCAGCTAATTTATTCCATTTGGCTGGCACACAGTGTATATATCAAATAATGATAACTGAAAACACCGAAAAAATTATAAAATTCGGGAGAGCATATTAAAAAGTCATAAGATAATGAGAGAAACCAAAAAAAGCTGAAATTACGAAATCAGAGATGACAGAACGAACATCTGGATAATGAAAGGCAGTAGTATGAAGAGAAGCGAGGAAAAAATACGGTATTACCAACGAACACATAGGTAGGGTAATTCTTTTGGTAACTTTTTGTTTGTCGATTGTTCCAATCTTTTAGGAAAATAAAACGACTTATTATTAAACGACTTAGCTATTCTATTATACACCAGCTTTGTTACTCTTTCTTACTAATACTTGCTTCTCCTTGGGACATATAAAGAAAGCTGTGTCATCGCAGTTAAATATTCGGGATTCATCTTCAAAAATATTCATAAGATTGCTTACCTTTCTGAACCACTCTCTAATACTTTGCTCACTGACATTCCTCCTACTTGCGGTAAGAATTTGGGACACTCTTGTACTAACTTCAGGATGTTTTTCAATGCAATTTTTGTAACCAGTGATTTCCGGGAATACCATCTTTAAATGGATTTTGTCGGTCCAAGTTTTTAATCAAATTAGCTACTGTGTATATTAATTGGGATTTTGTGACAGGGAACCCTTGTTTCGCCAAATAAAAAATCCAAACCACAACACACTTTTCTTCATTGGCGGCAAACACAGGTTGCACTCCCCATTTGGGATTTTTAAATCTTCCTGAACGTTTATCCCGTAAAGTGGTCTTTGGCACTCCGAATCTTTTAGGTGCTTGTAAACTGAGATCCCATTTTTTATAGCTTCCAAGGCGCTAGACAATTTTTCTTTTGAATATTGTACACGTATTTTTGGTGCCATATCTAACACCTTTTATAATGCATCGGTATTAGGCTATGGTATTTGCTATTATCGACCCAATAGGTCGGTAAATTGATTTAAATATGGTCGCACTTATCCTAATACCGACTGTGTAAAACTTGAGACAAATGACTGAAACGCCTTCTTCTTGTTAATTCAAGACTTTAACCAATTACCGTAATTAAATATATCAAAAGTTATATCTATATTAACTACATTATTCAGGGTTATTGGACTTAACAAATATATTAACATGTTTGTCTCTCCAGACAAAGAAAGTTTTAGAATATTAGGTTACTCAGAATATAAATCATGGGTCGGAAATTGAAAAAAACTCGACTTAATAGTATCTGTACTTAAGAAATGAACAATCACGGTACAACTACACGGCAAAGCAAAAAAATAAATTATTAAAATATAGGTTTTCAAACCTAATACCGACTTTGGGTCGGTATTAGAAATATCTATACCTATTACCGACTCATTATATTTTTACGATTTTTTCTCCTTGCTTATAGAAGGCCAACGCTTAACAAAAAAGTGTCTCTCGATTCAGACGATGTCAGAATGTAAATAAACAAGCCGATCGATAGAGGTGCCGATAATCAATTTTTATGCAGTTCATATACATCATATAAACAAGCATGATAATAAAGCTACGCATATCGACTTATAAATGACATGATATACATGACAAATTTGTGTATCTGATCTCTTAAAAGTACCTTATTATTAGAATACTTGCGGATATCCTTGCCTACAAAAAAAATTAATTATGGTTTATGTACCTATGAATTTCTTATACTTATAGAAAAGAATAATCACGTGTTTTACCAGCGCCTCTATTGACCGGGCTACAAAACTTTATTAGGCCAATTAATGAATGTGAAATACGGCGACCATGTAATTTTCCGTGTAAATTAAAGTGGGTAATTGATTCAAGTCGTTTTTTAGGAGTGGAAACTACCCCTTTTAGAAAAAAATCCTGTAATTGTAAATTAGACCGGGTAAAATTGATTCAAATCATCTTTTATTGAAGTGAATAAATGTCAATTAACATTAAACAACATAATCTAAGGTTTTGTTATAGTTTAACCCCCAAATCTCATCCCCTAGATAAGTTATAATTAAAACAAATGTGGATTTAAGTTATAATTACCCTCACCTTCAAAATTGAACTTGTACCGTTGGTTAGTTTTTAGGAATGAAAAAAAAATCATATAATTGTATATTCAAACAATTTCCTTTTACCCTATCAGGGTGTCTGATTTATTAATTATACAGTGACATTACATTTAGATTTCTTTACTGTTTTAGTTTTTTCCACATAATTTCTACCCTTATAAACACCACCCCTTGCGAAGAAATTAGAATAGTTGTAGTATTTTTTTCTCATTGAAACTATAAATATAATATTTAAAAATAAAAGTCCACAAATAGCTTCAAAGTCGATATTTGCACAAAATGCAGAAAAAACTTTAATTTCCTTGAGAATAGAAACAATATCATAAGTATTCAGCTATAAAGATATCAAGAAGTTTCACTTAACAGTAACTGCAAAATTGAAATTGTTTATCCCAGAAAGCGTTTATTCTACTTATTATTGTTATTATTATGCGTAAACTATTAGGTCTACATAAATTTTGAAAGCGCCAAATTGACAAGAAATGCCTATCCTATCAAATTAAATCATTTTTAACAATTGAAAAAAATATGTTAAATATAAGCTTATAATGTACCTTCCTTTTAATTTTAAACTTTCTACTTAACATCTAGGAAGTTCATTTATTTTTATTTGAAATTAAGGCATATTTACACGAATTTAAAAAAAAAGTACAGAGTTTTTTTGACCCTTAGAAGCCGAGTTAGCCCTTTTTTTTTCAAAAATTCACTGGGGCTTTGTTTATAAACATTAAAAAATTTAAAAACACGCAAATTTAAGTTTTGTCAAAAAAACATTCCAAAGCAATTCCCAAAAATAAGCCGACAAGGTGAGTCAAAGATAAAGGGTTGAAAAGCGAATTTATAAAAGTCGCAATATCTTCGGTTCTAATCAACGAAAATTGAAGCATTTTTTAATTTGGGGTACTTCATGGGATAGCTCATGAAAATACATTCAGTTAATTTGTAAATTGTTTATTTAAACGAGTAATTTGTTTAAACAACTTACAACCCAAAATATGCATTAAATGTGCATTTATTTTAGAAAATAAGCATTAATTATGCATTTTTTTTAGTAAATATGCATACTGCTAATGGAAGCATATATTTAATAATGGTATATTACAATACAATTTATATTGTTTAACTTGTAGGCTTCGCCCCCTAACTTATATGTCCCTGTATCTGTTGTTATTCTGATGATATATAGACAATTACACTGCGCTCCAAAATTAACGCATAATTTTAAAATTCGTATTTTGAGAAAAAAATTTTTGTTTCTTTTCTGCTTTATGGTTGTTTTAGAACATCTTGAATAAAAAACTTTTCTTTTTTACAAAAAATGTATTGAAATTAACAATATAACATCATAAATCTAAACATCTAAACAAACTAACATTATAAATTAATGACGAAATTGAAATTTTTAAAGTTGAAGAAAATACTAGTACCGAGTATTGCCTTCTCTGGCATTTATTACTGCTTGACAACGATCTCTCATACTGAGAATAATCGTTCTGATTTCTTCTTGATCAATTTGACCCCAAATTTCAACCAACCGCAAAAACAGTTCATCTAATTTTGCTGTTTGCAAACATAATAACTGTTTCGTGCATTAGGTAGTTGTCGTAGTCGTCTGCCTATGATGTCCCAAACATGTTCTATTGGGTTGAGGTCAGGACTTCTCGCAGGCCAATCCATGGCAAGAATTCCAACCTCCTTACGATACTGCTGCATAATTCTTGCCGGTTGTGGCCTGGCATTATCTTGCATAAGCATGAAATTATCCCCAATAAATGGTGCAAATGGCACGACATGCTCTTCTAAAATGTCTGTTATATACCTCTGCGATGTAAGCCGACCGCGATCTATTCTAATTAATTCCGGACGAGCCTCTAAATGAATCCCACTCCACACCACTAGCGAGCCGCCGCCATACTGTACAGTCCCTACGGTGTCACACTGTGCGTAGCGTTCCCCAGGCCTTCTATACACTCGGTTTCTCCTGTCATCAGAAAAAAGACAGTACCTGGATTCATCGGTGAACAATATTCTTCCCCGATCGTCATTATTCCAATCAACATGTTCACGAGCAAAATGCAATCTTTGCTTTCTATGGTCTCTGGTCAATAATGGGCCAATTGGTGCCCTTCCAGGGTGTAGGTCGTTTTCGGCAAGTCTTCTTCTAATCGTATTATGGCTGATTCTAAAGTTATAACGATCCAAAAATTCATTTTGTGGAGAAGTACTGGTAACAAACCTTTGTCTCAGTGTACGAAGTGTCAAAAACCGGTCTTGATTAGGAGTTGTAACCCTTCTACGGCGTTGACCGGGTTTTCTCAAGTTACTTCCAGTAACAGAAAAACGTGTTAACATGCTTGAAATGGTTAACTGGGTGACGTTAAAACGTTCAGCGAGTTCTACTTGAGTGTATCCTTCTTCGCGAAGAGTAACGATTCTAAAACAGTCACTTTCTGACAAATTTCGATTTTCTTGCTGCTGGTGGTTCATTTCAAAGAAAAAACACTTGATAAACTTCAAAAACCCCTTTAAACGTTCAGCACAACGTAATCCAACCCTACTAAATTCGAAATAAAATGAAGCACAATTAGCATGTTTATAATTTTTTTGCAAAAAATGCAAAAACATCAGCGTTTTTTACAGTTCTTTCGATACATTTTACAATATACCGGGGGTAACAATAATATATTAGCACAAAAATCGAAACATTAAAATTATTTGATTTACCAGTTTTTTTTTTAAATTATGCGTTAATTTTGGGCTGCAGTGTATATTATACAGAATAACTTGTATAATCTTGACCGTCTGTAATTTGTAGTGTAATATTTGTTGTTCTGTTGCAGATGAAGCCAACAAGGTAGATCCAACGGGCGCGGGAGGTCCCTCAGGCCGCTTATCCTCTAGCTCCAGCAGTTCGGACTCAGACAGCAGTAGTAGCAGTCTGTCCTCTAGTTCTAGCGACTCCAGTGACAGTGAAGCAGGTTAGCTTATACGTCATTAAAGCGATATACAAGGTGGTGTCTTAAAAAAACTCATTTTTGGAAACGTGGTTTCGCTAAACAAATTTCCCATGCATATATATCGTGTCTTTTTCTGTTTTAAGACGTTCGTTGATAAAAGAACGATCGATATTTTAAGGACATTAAAGGTGCCATTATTTATTGGTTTTTTTTCTTTCGCGAGAAAAGTTACTCTGCTAGGAATAGACCGAGCAAGGCACAGCAAGTTATTAACTCATTTTGGAGTTTGAAAATAAATAGAAAAGACGAAAAAAATCGTTATTCTGTTTTGGTGATATTTATATAATAAATGGAACAAGTTAACTACATTAATATATCTTCGTGGAAGCTGATTTTTTCACCTGAAAATTATGTTTAGGCGCTGATCATTATTTTCTGATTTTTTTCTTATTTTTCTCTTTTATTTTCCGTTGCTCATTGTCGAATATTCCGTCCCTATGGAGGCAGAATTTTGTTTTTGATGTGGACTTCGAGGGAATTTAAAGATTGTTTTAGATTTAAATATTTTATAGAACTTTTAGACCCATTCATCTAATAAATACATAGTCAATGAACAAGTATTTATTTTAATTTAATTTAAACTTACATTATGTTTTTTGTTACATTTTCCGCCTCTTTTCTTGTTCCAACTAGGTTTAATCGTTATTAAGTAGATTTCGATTGTTTTGTTTTTCTTAAAAAGTTTTTTTGCCTTTGGTGAGACTTCTATACCTAACATACAATTTAGTTTTCGGTATGCAGAGAACAGCATTCTGATTATTAGTATACCCAAAAAGTGATTTTAGTATTTTTTATGAATATTTATATTTTTTTTATATATTCCATACTATCGTGTATTGTAATAATACAATTTTTAAGATAAGTTCTTAACTGCTGTGTTCCTTGCGAAGTCAGTTAGCGTTTTTTATTAATTTTCTTAAAATTTTACGTTTTGTTTTGTATAACGAAAAGGCCGCACCAACTCATCCTAACTCGGTCTCGAACGTTATTTATTTATTTTGTTGAATATGTTTATGTGCAAAAAAAAAGAACTAACTCTCCCCGAACGATTTTTATGTTGGCGCGACTGAATTCGGCAACTGTACAGAGTCCAGTTTTTCAAGCAAAGAGTCGTGGAAGATTGTGGCAAAATTATGTGTCGTCACCGAAATTGTGGACTACAGAAGTCGTGAAGTCACACGAGGTGGGTGGAGTTTGTGAACCGTTTTAATAAATATCTCAGTAATCAAGACATATTTAATTTGTTTTTAAATTTCCTATCGATAAAACGGCAATGATAATTTTTGTGTAGAAAAAAATCATATCGGAAACGTCACTTCGGATCCCCCTCCCTATTTGAGTATATCTGAGCCTCCGGGTCTTTATTGTGTTTCTTTTTTTATTTTTATCTTTCTAACGCCAGTTTCTTCCTATATCTACCACTCGTGTACGAAGTATCTGTGACAACATCTTAGATTTCACACTATCTACCCATCTGTAATTTTTCCGTGTTAACAAATACCTATTATGTCTAAAAACATACACCTATGTAGTTTCTGTCATCTGTCAACTATCCCTCTTAAATTTTTGCTGAGAACTTGTCTGTGTACCAAAATTTCTGATCTGATATAATAATGCGCAGCTTTTTCCGTCGTTTTTGAAGAAAATGATGTGAGGCGCATATACCTTAGTGATTTTGGATGCGGAGTGTTCTTTTTCCTTCTTTGGGAATGAAAACTGTAATTCTTCTCCACATTTGTGTTAGATGTCGCATTTCTAAGTAGCTTTCATTTTGAAAATGTTCGTATTCTCTACTCCCTCCCTCGATTGACGTCACTACTCGAGTTCATTGAAAAGAGAGATAAGTAGGAAATGGTCATGTAAATAATGTATCTTTTATTTGAAAAAAAAAGTATTTGCGTTAAATGAAAAAATAGATGTAATGAAGAAACAAAATTAACCGTTTATAGAGCGTATAGAGCCCAAGGATTTTTGTCACGTAAATATCAGTGTAGGTTTGTTACACAAGGAAAAATAAAACAAGGGATGAAGAAGATTATAAAGGTTATTTAACAAAAATCTAGACGAATACGGTTATATTATCATTAAAGAATCAGGAACAAAAATCACGAAAAAAACTATTTAAATATAAGAAGAAAACTTTCCAAAAATTCAAACGAATAAGGATATATTATCAATAGTGGAACTAGTTTACTAAGTGCTTATTTTTAAGAACGATAGTACTCTGTCCCACTACTATTATCAGTCGTTGGAAGAGTAAAGAAAATCGACTTATCCTGTACAACAACTGAATTTAGCCATGATACACGATTTTATGTGCAAAAAATTAATAATTTTGGGCTCTATACCTCAAGGCTACACGGAAAAAACGCACGGCAACAGTGTAACGAATTAGAAAAGCATTGTTGCTAAACGTCGCTAAATTTCTTGTAAAATGTGATTTATGTTAAATGTTTCTTCACAAATTGACAATATTGTTGTAACGGAACGGTTACTTGTTACAATATGTTGGAAAGTGCGTGTGATCTTGATAGGTGACGAAGTATCAAGTACTGAAACTGTTTTGTAAAAAGATTTAAACACTTATTGCAGAATTTATTGAGATATGTTACCCAGCGTTTGCTTGTTTCGGTTGTAGTAATAAGTAAAGAGGGAATAAGTGATTTTTCTAACGTGCAGATCCGTATTAAGGTGATATAACTGTACTTATTCGTTTGATTTTGAGGTTCTTCTCGAAACGAGAACTTTTTTCTTTTGCTTTGTGGAATCTTGATTTACATTCCAACAGTTCATGTCGATATCGGATAGTTTTAAAACGAGGCTCATTTGTGCCGTATCTGTATCGAGAAAAAATCATTTATTTCTATTTGAAACAAGTGGACCTGAAAAATAATCAAATGGTCGGTTTATCAAAGCAAATCACAAAAGTTTTTATGCAGAGTTTAACATATGAAATAATAAAGTAGTGACATATATGATTTTTCCTACTAAAACCGTTTTAAGCTTCGATCAGACGTTCAATTGTATGTTTTCACAGCTGTGCAGTGTTGCCAAGTCATCGGAATATCAATAGTTTTAGGGAATTTTTAAAATATTTGTTTTTTTAAGTTATTTTAAAAATTTGTTGTTTTGACAGCTTGGGAAATAGTATCAACAGTAAAACTCATTCAGTTAAATCTGCTCGTTCATTTAATACGCTACAACAAAGAAAAGTAAGGACATTTCATCTTTTTAGGATTTTTGAACGAAACTCCACAATTTCTCGAATATCACCCATAAGGAGTTTGCATTCTTCATTTATTTTATCTCCCAATTGATTGTGGTTGTCAGCCAGAAATCTACAGTCTTTTAAAATGCTCTTATAACAAATACCAGCTCTTTCTTTAGTACAACATTTTACCTTTCTCGTGCTGAACCAAAATTTACTTTAAAAAAATTTGACATATGAAAAAATGTGCATATATCTGAATATTCAAAAACATAGTTGTGGCCAGGTTATTTTGTCCAAGAGTGTTTTTAACCTTATTTTTCTAGCTACTGTTATTACTCTAACATTGAAAGCATTTCGCGTTTTTTAGTACACAACAATAATAATATACTGGAACATATTAATTTGAAGCTTAATCACGACTTTCTCATTTGTGCCTCTGAGGATACTAAAGAATATGTCAAGAGAGCAGTAAAATTCTGGAAATCCAATTTTCTTTTTCAAAAAATCACGTCTATAGCAACAATTTTCTCACTTATGTCATGTTGATAAAATGATAGAAAAGTATCGATTTTGTTATACATTTTTTTAGGCATAACTGTTGCAAGGGATCCAAGGGTAAAAACGTGACTTGCAATGTAAATTTTTTTTATTTTGTTATTCAAAAATTTTTGTAGCTGATCAGTTGTAACGGAGTTAGTAGGAACAAATCAATAATATACTTATGCTGGTGCTGTTTTTGAATTGACTTTATTTGGATTGAAGCCGTTGTATGATTTAACAGTGGAAACTGCCACAATCTGAACTCATCATCACTTGTGTTTTGTTATTTTGTATATCGTGAATTTGACATAGTATTATGACAAGCTACTTTTCGAGAAATAACCAGAAGATGGTGTACCGCAGGTTATTTGTCGAAGTTTGGCGAGCAGTATTATACAATACCTTGAGTGCATTATAGTGTGGGGACGGCGTGTGACCGGACCAACCATACAGGCCATCGGGTCTTACCACAAATCAATTTTTTGCTTTATATGGTTGATGTAATTTATATAGATATACGTCTGAGGTGATATTTGTGCTTTATCTTTTTCACATCCGCGCTACTACATTTTTATGCAGACAATGTGTGTGGCGGCTGTATATTTTTTTATTTGAAATAATCATCCCTCGCATCAAGAAATTTGTCTATCGATATATAAAGAAAGAAATTAATTTTAAAATATAATAAGTCGTGATTGCTTAAGTTCATGAATTGCATGTCCTTCTTTCATACGCTTATACCACTCATTTAGACAGATAAAACAAAAACTAAGTGTACTGACATGACATTACAATTAGCATAATGTACCGAGGTTCAGAATTTTTAATTATAGTTATATATAAGGAATTATTGTTTGTACTTTCGTGATGAATCTTTAATGATTACTCTACTTATCCAATATTCTTCCTTTGTATAAAATTTATAACTTCGCATTTTTCATAATTTCTGCGACAGTTTACTTTAATATGTGTGACCTCTCTGTGGCTTCATCAGATGTTTCCCCTTACTTGGTTTCTTATTATTCAGAAAATCTTATTTTAATTTAGTTGTACGTCAACACAAGAAGCTGCAGTAGGGTGAAAGTTGTCATGCGAAAATAGTAAATATATGGAAACATTTTCTTTTAATACAAGTTTTTATTTGCTCTATACCATGGATTTGAAGGTCTTTGAGCTCTACACTTTTCCACTAGGTTGTTTTTGATGATCTTGAGGTTAAGAATGCAATTTACTCCTATTGTATATATAAATACGCCAATTTTGAATACTTCCTTTCGAACTCTTCTCAGTACTTCCAACATTTTAGTGCAGATTATCCCATAAAAAGGTTCAAAAGATCCAAAGAGCGTTGTATATGCTTGCTATCAAGCACTGGATCATTGTTGACATATTTTCGATCTTTTTAACCATTGAACAATTCCATGATGATTTTGCTGGTCCACTGCCATTTACCATAAAATACTAGTTTTGCTTGGCATCATATTTCAAAAGATTATGAACGTTGAGAGAAGCATCTTGAAAACTTTTCTCCCTGAGAAGCTTGCCTCAGGTCATACTTCGACATCATCATCACTTTTCAATATGAATACTTTCTCATTTCCTGATAATGACTTGTTTTCTTATTTTTTCTTACGATGCTACCTACAGCTTCATTCACGAGTCTGTTTCAACTTCATTATCTCAGTTTTCTGTGGCCTCCTTTTGCTGCTCTGTATTTTATTGGGGTACCTGTCAGTATGCCAGTCTATGGAAGTATGGGGAGTCTAGATATTAGTAACAGAATACAAGTAATAGAATACAATTGCTTTCCTTGTTTTAGAACCATTTGTATCTTTTGAAGATCTTGATTGTCAATTTTAGGAACAGTAGCTCTCAATCTCTGTACATAGTTTATCTTTGTGATAAGTACAACCTTTTTGAGTCGTGATTTCTGCTTATATTATTGAAAATAAACGAATAGATAACGAAAAATACAGTTAATTTTGGGTTATTTACTTTATTTGACCCCTCACAATGAGACATACTTACACCATTACATTCTGCACCAAAAGAGGTATGCAATTCATGAATTTTTATAAGAATAATTAAATCATTTTAGTAGGTGGTAGAAAGGTAAGCTAACATGAACACCACAAAAAAAGCTAGTCCGTGGTACTGTATGGTTTTAGATTTTTTTATTATTTTTTAATGGTCGGCAAAGGCTGATGTGTTGGCCTCCACCCACATTGTTTGCACTCTGGGGCTGTTTTGTTCTTTTGGAGGGTTTAATTTTTTCATTATTTTTTATGTGAAGTATTTGACAACATACGTAAAAAGTGGACAAAGCTGATCATGATCAATATTGAGTTTATTTGGTACTTTATTGGTAATTTTACTTGACAAGAGCAGCTTGTCCATTATATTTCGAGTTAAATGATCATCGACAATTTGCTAGAATGATTTTTAACAGGAATATAAAGGTTTCTTTTCCAGAAATTCGGCTAGTTTAAAATAGAATATTTATACTTCAAAGTGAGATTTGGCATCGATGTTCCATCAGTAGATGACCAACGTTCGTTCTGAAGCGGAAGTGACGTCACAAATAATTGTCAAGCTACATAGGATCACGTGATTAATATGACTGTCAAATGGAGATTGTAGAATTGATCAAAGGAAGAATTTTATTCTCTCTATTTGAATATCAGGAATTTGATTTCAGTTCGTTTTTTGCGCAAATATTGATCTTAGTGATTTTAAATTCGTATTTTGGTAATTTATTTGAAAATACTTATCCAATGATATATCAAATATAGCACTTGGTATGAAATTCAGGAATTTAGAATTTGCAAGGTTTCCTAATAATATAATTTTCACGATGTCGTTAATAATGTTCTTACGAGTTAAATGGATAATAGGATCCTTGGCATGCGACCGCTCAAATTATTATTTTGTTTATGATTAGAGAACCACATACTAATGTCAACGCCTTTTTCTGATCATCAGTAACCAAGATACGAGACTGCTCTTTTTGATTCATTTAACCTATCCACTTAAAACCACGCTATGGTCTGCTTAAGACCTCCAATCATTGATTATTTACTTCTTCGCCAAGTTACCCAAAATTCTTCATTTTGAGTGCTAGTGAACGATATTACAGTCGACAAAAATATCCTGAACATCTTCGAAAATTCTCTAGTCGTTGATAATTTACTCTTTCACCCACCCAATGCTTTATTTTCCTCCTTCCCCATAGGAACAAAAGCCCCTTAATGCCATCTTTTGGTCTTTTGCCGTTCAAATGTCTTAATTTGTCCGACTATACGATGCTCACGTGTTCTTATACAGTTTATCAGTGATGAGTGACGTCATTTCCATTCTTGAAGACAATTTTGGTCTAAATACTTAAAATGCAATAAAACAGCCGAATAAAAATCAATACAAAGTCCTATAAACTCAACAAAGTAATGAAAAAATTAAGGTGGCAGTTAACTTATTACGAGGCGAGTATGTTAGCAATTTTTAATGTCCAAAATATAGGTAGATTATTATAAAAAAAGATATTTCATATCAGGATTAATTATGTTGTGATGTAAAATGTATATAAACATATAATTATTTACGAAGGAAATGTAATTCAATTGTGACTAGTGTATTTTTCGAAAGAGAAGGAAATTTTTTTATCGATTAGAGCAGCGACTGCAGAATCTCGCGCAGCAATGTTATAAGTGGTGTTGCTAATTTGTTGTTTTTGTATATAATCTGAATCTGCTAATACAAGGTGAGTCGTAAAGAATGAGTATTATTTTACCCGACATTGATACAATTATATTAGTTTTTTGTTGAATATCTCAAACTCTAGCCTTAATAAATAAATTGAGAACAAGATTTCAGTATATTTTATTTTACTGGTAAACATAAATGGAAAATAAAAAAGGGCGAAAGAGTATTATAACACAATTTCAATATATTGAGCAATGATTTTGTTGCAAATTTCTTCTCCTTTTATCACCTGCTTTATCATGTCACACCATTTCTTCTCTCTTTTAAATTCATTCGTATTTTGAATTCTGGGTGCCGTTATTGTCTCTTTTATTTGCACAATTATGAAGCTTTTTTATCTCAATGGCTTCTAGAATATTTCTTGATTTATATAAACGGATGCGTGATGTCACAATTATACCACACAAATAAAAAGATATCTTCAAATGTGGTAGAGTTTCCGAAGATTTCGATTTGATTGGCTGTGGTGATTTGATTTTCGACAATATCGATACATAGTTATGTTTTTGTTATAAACAGAGAAGTAGTCGAAATACAGAGAATAGTGGATACTATGTGGTTTGAAAAGTCACATCTTGAACCTTGCAGGCAATCATCAAAGTAAATGTCCTAGCCTTATCTAGACGCAAAATATCACAAAATTTTGATTTGGTGTGTCACAATTAAACATATTGCTCTGTCGTGTTTTGTTTCATTGGACAAGCTGACAGAAGAATTTTCTTCTGTATTATTTGTCAATAATCTTCGTTTTACAAGAATCATTTTAAGTATTTCCTTTTGAGCATTGTTTAATTCGCAGTTGATTCATACCCATACGAATGACACTTAACAAACAGGTTGGTATTTCAATCGCTAATTTGCTAATAAAAGTGCAATATGTGGCCATTTCTGTAGTTTTACTTTAACTTCTAAAATATGATTCTTATGTGTCGACATAACACAGTGTATATTTTTCACAAATCTTTCGAATTTCTTGTAATCTTTTCATCTTTAGCAAATGGTCAACAGTTCTAAATCGCTTTCTGAAATAAGTTTACCTCATTGTTTTAGTATCGATAATCAGAACTTGTTTTCTTCAGATGTTTTTTTGAAAAAATCAATGCCAAGTAACTAAAAAGTTGGGGGGTGGTGTAGAAAATGTTGCATTAAGATATATTTTTCCTGATGTATTTCCATTTTGATCCTGTAGTGTAAAATATAACTGAAACGTAACATCAGTGAATTATCTTTATTTATTAGGTATTAATATTTGTTCCATAAGCAAAAAATGAATATACACGCTTTGAGATAATCGGTAAAATGTTACACATTCTTTCACCCTGTATAAATAACGTACTTTTTTGATAAATGTAATATTTCTACAGTTGCTGTTTGATCTAAAATTACTTGTAGTGCAGTATGGTTGTACATACTTTTTCTCACCTAAAACAGATTTTTTTGCACTCATTTATAATATTGTCAAATACTTTTATATAATTTTTGTCTTTGTATTCGGCATTCATTTTAAATTAAATATATTCTCTTATCAATTTCACTTCTTTTTGTTTTCTTTTATTTTTTTAATATAATTTAATATTTAAAGAGGGGGAATCACTGGGAATTGTTTACTATGTAAATATACTTAGGATTTATTTTGTAAATATAATGTGAACTTTTTAGTGTTCGCGAGAATAAACTTATATCTTGCCTCTAGAGTAGGTTTTTAGAGTTTTCCAGGCTAAATATTATTAGGAATTACTATTTGTATATTTATTTAAAGATAATGCGAATGATTTCTTTCAACAAAAGTAAAATGTAAGCATTAACACTGAACGATGTCGAGAATGAGATTTATTAAATTTAATATATAATGCAAAACCTTGTTTTTGTGGTAAGACCTTTTAACGAATACGAATTGTCCGCACTCAAGGTATCAGAAAGCGATAACGAGAAGTGTTTACTGAGCAAAAAGTTTTATAGGTGGGACGGCGAACCGACAGGCCAAAAAGAAAGCGAATAAAAAATCACCTAATCCTTCTCTAGGAAGTTCCACCACCACCACCACTACGGTATGTATGAAACTTTATTTTTTTTATATATAAGAGACAAGAAATTTGGTCTCTTATATAAATTCTTTGAAACGTATTTATTAGGTTATATTAGTTAAGTTGAATTGATTAGAAGAATGTCAGTACTCGTTATTTTTTGGTACAGTGACAATACAATTATTCAAGTATTTCAGTATGAGAAACAACTTCACTAGTGGCCAAAATTCTGGAAATTTTGCAACAGTTTTAGTTTTGTTGTCAGCATTACTCTTTTTCACAAGACCTACGTCTACTTAATTTTTAACATATATTTTAAAAGGAAAAACCCTCTAAAAATTTAAAAATAAATAAAACAACAGCTGTTGGCTATAGTAAATATATTAAAAAAAATTGTACAATGGTTATTATCATGAAAATTAGTATTTGGTGGGATAACCTCTGTTTTTTAGGACAGACTCGATTCTACGAGGTATGGAGTTCACGAGACGAGCCAAATCTTGTATAATAACTCTAAACCAGTTTTGAATGATGGCTTCTATCAGTTCTCTCTTGTTACTTGATACTAACACTTGACTTGACCATAAATTTTCTATTGGATTCAGATCGGGACTATTTCCAGGCCAAGCAGGACAGTAACTTCATAGTTTCTTAACCATCCCATGGAGGTCTTAACCATATGACTAGACGCTCCGTCCTGCTGGAAGATGCATTGTTGGGCATCCCTTTGAACAAATCTCTGATAGTCGGCAGCAGTTTGGCTTGCAGTATCTATTCCTGATATTTTTTTGCATTAATACTGTACTCGTCCAACTGTAATGTCCTGTCATACTGTAACGTCCAACTCCATTAGTGGTCATACAAGCCCATACTATGACACTCACAGGATGCTTCATAGTGACCGTAGTATACTGGGGCAAAAGGTCTTCCCCTGGTCGACTCGCGAACGAGCTTCACTCCGTCACTCTCAAAGATCTAGATTCTGGTTTCATCACTCCAAATTACCTTACTGATCAGACTGATGTTGAACTACTGCTGAGTACAAAGGAGTATCTCTTCTTACCCAACTTATGACAAATTTGGATTTGTTTTTTACCATTCTTTGAACGTTTTGATCTGTGGTGCAGAGGAATATCATAATCAGAATAGTCAGAATTCTCATTCACTTGTATTTCATATGTACGTACAAAATCCGTTTATTCCTTATTCACCAATAATTATATCATCAATGTCTTCTACTTCGGAATCTTCATCTGTTTCCGGCGGCACATAAACCACATCAAGTGAACATTGAGTCAGCATTTTTACAATACGAGTCTTCTACTGACAAATCCACTAACTCTTTAGTAGATAGTGCCCCTTTTTTCATATTTCGAGAATTTACTAAAATAAACAAAAAAAATGCACTATATACACGCATTCACATGATATTAATTTAGCTTACCTCATTTTGATTTATATGGGATAGAAAACAAATAAACATAAGGAAACTTTCAAATTAAGTTAAAAAATGCAAATATAACGTTTACAGCACACAGCAATTCTATAACTAGTGAATAAAGTGTAATGACGAGATCGTATGTTAAAATTTCAGATTGTTTAGTCTAATGAGAAAACTATAGTATGGTTTCAGCTAAAGTGCTTACAATATTTCTTAAAATATTTATAAAGTAATATTTTTGTTAAAAGAAAAATGATACTATATACCTCAATCTATAGAGATGTTACTTCAACAAAAAGAAAACTTTGCTCCAAAATAAATCATTTAAAATTATAAGGAAAGTAAAAAAAACGATGTTTTTAGTAAGTTTTTAAATATTTTAATTTTTTGATTAATATTCCCGACCTATTTGAAAGGGATGATGAGTCAATTATTATTACTTAGTTATCACACAACTTTTTCTGCAAAAACCAGAATGCCACCTCTCACATCTAAATGTAGTAATTTTTTCACAGAACCACCCCCGTCTAATACGAATAATTTGATTAAATCATATCGATAATTCATCATTCTATTTATATTGCTACTACAGTTAAATCATTTTTGTAAGTACATGAATTTTGAGCTTGTTACCTTTAATCTGCGAGATTTATTTCGAAAAGAAAGAAAATATTTCTATGAGGCAACTGCAGTAGTCATCAAATTAAGACCATGTCCTCTAGAAATTTGCTCTATTTCGTAACATTCAGTTGCACAACTTCATGCAGACTTAGGTGTCCAACTATACATATTTTTGTACCTAGCCCGATCAAAGAACACTATGATCCATAAAAAAATGAAGAATGAAAATTTGGGAGTAGGTAAATGAAAGTGTCTACTATTAAATAAAAAAAAGTTTAAAACCCTAATATATCTCAATTTTGCAAAAAGGGTTGACTTTTTATATATTGGGATGTATTTCGCCAAATAATGAAAAAAAAAACAAATTTTTCTTTTGTTAGAAAACTTATCTATGAAAATTATTATGATACCTTAAAAATGTGTCTAAAAAATGTTTATAGCTTCAGTAGTTTCTGAGATATAGCCCTTTTGGAAACGCGCGCACATAAAAATGACACATTTTTAATTAACTAATTTTTTAATCAAAAATTGGACAATTATCAAATTTACGATAAAGACATAAAATTTAAAAAAAAACCTCAATTTAATATGAATGAATATTAGAAATTATTTAATTTAGAAAAATAGATAAACACATAGTTTTTGAGAGCAACAAATATTTTTCGTCTAAAAAATTTATATAATCATTTAAGTTAAAATTCCTTTTGGATTTAAATTCTAGAATGTTTATACAATATTTATATTTAAAATTTTATCATATGATTTATAAGGGTAAAAATTTGTGGTGTGTTAAAAGATAGCAATGTTTTTATTTTAATTTTAAGAGCAATTTTCGAAATTCAATCAACAATATCTTTGTTGAACGTGAATAAAAAGCAATGAAAATGTTATGGTAAGTACTTAAAAATGTGCTTTTTCTAAATCATTTTTTACATTTTTTGTAACTACATTGCTCGCCAAAATTAATGCTTAATTTTAAAATTAATTTTAGCCGTAATGAAAAAAAATTTGTTAGTTATTTTTTATTTAAGGTGGCTTTTAGAATATCTGAAAGAAAAAACTTTTCTTTTTTTACGAATGGATTGCAATAAAACATAAATAAACCGCGGAATTGAAAATTTTTCAAAAAATTTAAGAGTTCAAGAAAATTAAACTATAGCGAGTATTGCCTCCTTGATTTATAGTGCTTGACAATGATCTCTCGTACTAAGTTATTGTTCTTATTTCATCTTAATCAATTTAATCCCAAATTTCAACTAATCGCAAAAACAGTTGATCTAATGTATTTGGTGCGTTAGGTAGTTGCTGTTGTCGTCTCCCTATAATGTCTCAAACATGTTCTATTGGGTTGAGGTCGGGACTTCCCGCAGGCCAAACTATGGCAGGAATGCCAACCTCCTCACACACAAATCTTAGTTCTTTCTTTGTATCAATACACCATTTCAAGCAAGGGTCATCTATGTACCATTTTTCCGAAAAGAAGAAGAGATCTAGCGATAAGCGACCAGTTTTGCACTACACATACAGGGTGACACCTTCTAGTGAAAGAAGAAGAATCAGCGGCCACAACCTCTTCTGGTCAGTGTCGATGATCTCTTCTTCAGGCTATCGTACAGCTAAGACAGGGGACACTTCTTCGGGAGAGAAGAAGAGATAAGCGACCCATTCTTACCAGCCTCTGGTCATTGTCGATCACTTCTTCAGCAAAGAAGAAGAGATCAAGCGATAAGTGGGCACTTCTTATTTGTCACGGCTTCGTTCCCATTGTGATCGGCGGGCGGGGCTTCGTTCCATTATTCGGTGGGCGGAGCGCCCACTCAGTGGGCGGGGTGGTGGCAAACATAATAGGATGCCACGGTCCGAGAAATTTTCCCAGGCTCAAGTGTCCCTTACTCTGCTTGAAGCATGAAATTATCCCAATAAATGGTGCAAATGGCACAAAATGCTCTTCTAAAATGTCTGTAATGTACCTGTGTGATGTAAACCGCCCGTGATCTATTCTAACTCCGTGCGAGCCTCCAAATTAATCTCACCCCACACCATTACCGAGTCTCCACTGTAGTGTACAGTCTCTACAGTGCTACACTGTGCGTAGCGTTCCCCAGGGCTTCTGTATACTCATGTATTATTCTAAACATGTTCACGAGCAAAATGAACAAAAATATTTGAATTCTATGATCTCTGGTCAATAATGGGTGTTACGAATGTTTATTAAGTATTTGTATACAATGTATTTAGTTAATTTTTAGTTCTATCATGTTACCCAAAATTTCCCGTTGCTACTGTTCTATAAACTATGTCAAATATAATATCAAAACGTCAGAAAACAAACTTTCACCGATTAAGGAAAAATTTAAATAATTTAATAATTTAGCAGACAGCAAGAGAACAGTAAGTAATGAGAATTAATTAGTTTTTTTATATTGTTAATTTTATATATTGTAGGAATTTGAGTTGTTTTTTCGAAAATAAAAACAGTAAACTACAAATCCGTCAATTACTGGCTGTACAATAAAGATAAATTCCCAACAATGGGCCTGTGAGTGTCCTTCCAGGGCGCAGGTCGTTTCCGACAAGTCTGCTCCTTACCGTATTTTGGCTGATTCTAAAGTTATAAAGGTCCAAAAATTCATTTTGTAGAGAAATACTGGTAACAAATCTTTTTCTCAGTGTATGAAGTGTCAAAAACCGGTCTTATTTTAGTAGTTGTAACCCTTCTACGGCCTTGACCGGATCTTCTAGAGTTACTTCCAGTAACAGTAAAACGTGTTAAGACTCCTGAAATGGTTGACTGAGTGACATTAAACCGTTCAATCAACGAGTTGAATTTGACGGTATCCTTCTTCGCAAAGAGTAAGTGTGCGTTCACTGTTAGTGCTATGCTCTAGGCGAGGATACCATGCGATGGTCGCCGTAATGAACGCACTCTTAGTGTGCGTTCATAACAAGGCGCCGACCCTCG